CTTCTGTATGTTGCAGGTAGGAGGTATGTAACTTTGCTCGAAGAATTTGATTGATGGGCCACAGAAATCAGCAGAAAGCATTCTCCTTGAGGTTGTTGAGGCTTAGGCCAAGGCCTAAGTAGGAAATAGCTTTATACTATTGAAGGACCTACTTTCATTGCAGGATTTTCACGCATGCCTTCAGCAACTGTCTTCTTTACATATATTCTTCTTTGCTTTTCCTTCGTCATTTTTTGTTTAGGAGCCAACAGCTACAACAAGACATGAGAGTGCCCAGCAGCATCACCCGAATTCAGCAATGGCTGCTAGTTACATTGCCCCTGATATATGCAGGAGCAAAGGTGAGTTGTTCCATAAGGAGAAAACATTCCAGGGCTTACAGCACACAAACACAGCTGATCATGCGGTTCTGCCCCTGCCAGGAGCAGCCCACCTGCCGCTCCAGGCAGAAATGTGCTGTGCACATACTGAAAATCATAGCGGGGATTTGAAGATGTCATGCTGACATTGATGTTGCCATTTTAGGTTTAATCAAGTAGTATCGGGAAGAGGTAAGACTGTTAATAAGGCCCAGACATTGTACCAAATGCTTGTTCAAAGCACTTTTCTCGATCATATAGAGGTTAGATTATGTCTTTGAGTATCTCATGCTTTTTTTTTTATTTATTATTACTTCTTGTTTTTTATTAGGTATAGTGAAGGTGTTTACAGAGGTGGGGAATGACAAAATGATACTCAAAACAGCGGAACTGATATACTAGTTACACAGTTTCATAATTACAATGACAAACCAGAGTTACAATATTAACAGTGAAAAGAGCAACAGTGATATTGCTTCACAGACTTTCAACTGGAATTCTAGCAGCAGCATGTGGCAAAGCTGGACATGCACATGATGGCAAACAAGGTGATTTGTGGGCATTAGCGTTCAGAAAGAGTACAGCCTTGTGGCATGGCTTAGGCAGAGGTCTCTCAAAGACTCTCAGCTGGGGATAAACTGAATTTGGCTACTCCAGGAAAGAAAAGCTGAGCCTGGAATAATGAATAGTTGTGTAACATGTGAATCTGCTTTTGAAGGAACAGTGATATTTTGTTCTGCATCCTCATGGCCATGTAGATGCACCTACAGAAAGCATGGGACCTCGTAGGCAGGCCAGATGGTTTTCCAAGGTGCTATGTGCCTATGAGGTACCATAGGACTAGGTAGAACTCCTTTGATAAGCGATTTTGAAAACTAGTTATTTAGACGCTTACATAAACCTGCTTTGAAAGCTCCCTTTTTATTTGATTTGATTATCTTACGGTGCAGATCTACATCACAGTTATGTCCCATTTTTATCACCTAGAGAGCAGAGAAAGAAACTGGCTTGTCAGTCAGACTGAAGATGGACATGACCTCACTCATTCATCAAACAGAATCAACAGCAGTGCAACAATGTCAGTAACTTTAATTTACTTTATGTGCATTTAATGATCTCTCCACAAAGCACTTCTGTGTGAAAAGATCCACTCTTATTTTATCTCTTTGAAATACAACTTGGTTACACACCAAATATTCAGTAAGCCACAGGGGCAGTTATTCTTATTAGACAATTTTATGTTTCACCAAAACCACTATGATAGTTCATGGCTAGTTTTGACTCTCAAACCAATTAGGGTAGCTATCCCAAAGACTGATTTGCCTACTGCAAAAAGCCTTTACAGAAAGCTAAGCAGTGGCATTCTCCGGCCATATCCTACTTTTCTGGACTAGGAAAATTAAGTCTTCAATTGGATAATTTTTGCCACTTAGGAAAGGGTGAATTTATTTATTTATTTATCACAAGCCAGTTATCAATACTGCAAATAATCATTTTCCCTAACCTTTTGCATTTCATTTGCAAAGGAGGTTTTATATATTAATCAGATGAACAACAAGTACTTGAAAGAAGAAAAGGTATTTTTAAGACTCTAAGACAGGACTTTGGATTCCTGTTAGAACTGGTACTTGTTAGTACAGAATGTTTACTGAATCTTACCACATGGTGAGTGGCATGAATAATAGTGGCAGAATGCTTTTCTTTAGGTTTTCACTTCCAAACAACAAACGCAAGTCCCCTCTTTTCTGTAAGTCCTCTTAGAAGATTAGAAGATTGCTGTTTGAAATAGGTACTTCTGCAAAATGGCCTAAGAGAAAAGAAGGAGGAAAGAGATGAGGAAATTTCTTATGGCCTGATGTCATTACTTGGGTAGCTTGCTTGCACTATGACATGGTAGAGAAGCAGGCTTAAAAATCTACCCTGAAAGTTAATCTTTAGTTTATAAGTAACCCTTCATAACTATAGAACATATCAGTGAACAGAGATAAAATGTCCCTGTTCTAAGGGCAGAAGAACAGCCTTTTCCAGTTCAGAGTCTCATCGCCAATCATAAAGGCAGCTGAAAAAGAAAGGCACAGAGAGGTAAGGGCTTTCTTTTTAATATCATTTGTAATATAGCAAAGCACAACTAATGAACAGTCCCTTTGTTGTTGTTGTTGTTAAAGGGTCAGCTTGAGCAAGAAGTGCAGGGCTGTTCACTCCCGCCCTCCGAAATGCCCTTAGCTCCCACTGCAGCACTTCGTAAGAGCTGACTGCAGAAAGTCCTCACTCAGGATTACATCTGTCAGCAAACGCCAGATTTCACTGAACACTTTCCACCGAATGCGTTTGTTGCTGTTGCAGTTCACTGGATTTGATGCCATGTCTTGAATCACTTCAAGCAGGGTCAGGCTTTTTGGTCAGACACTGGTACCCCTGCATGTGCCCGGGTTGTCCTCAGCTCCCCGCTGTCATCACAGGGCAGGGGCTGCCTGTGGCCAGGACTTCGCCCGGGAAGGTGCCATGGGAAGAGTCATGATTTGTCACCCAGGGCCTCCCCTACCACCAGGCAGCTGGGAGGAGACTGAGGCTGGACAGGCTGCTGCCACCAATGGAAGGGCCCTTTCCAGTGAATATGGTGTTATTAAGTTAGTTAAACACTAACCTAGTTATCTTGTTTATCTTCCTTGACTGTAATTCCTTAGAGGGAACATTCTTTTCCGGATGGCCCAACATCTGTTTGATTAATGAGCTTCTACTACCACAGACTTTTTTTTTTTCTTTTCATGTCAAATGTTCCTCATGTGATTTGCAATTTTGTAACATGCTGACTTGATTTTTCCATTGGGTCAGTTACAAAATGCTTGGGTTTTTTTCAACACACACATGCACACGCTTCATATTGTCTTTCTATGTGTATTTTTTTTCTGTTTTCGGGATAGTTTATTTGCTTTGTACTATCCATTTTAGGTTTAGGCTATCCATTTTAGGAATAACAACCACAATCCCTTGTGTCTCTTCCTATGTTGGCCTCATCTCAGACAAAATTAGAGGTCAAACACTGACCGGAGTCACACAAGCAAAACTGCCATTCTCTCCATGCTTATTTTCTTATAATGCCAAGATTTTCACCCCTGCATGGACCCAGCCGCTCCGAGGGCAACGTTCACCCTTGGGAGCAGCTCGTGCTCCCGGAGGCTTCCAGGACTGCAGAGCTCAGCAGAGTTTGCCCCGTGTGAGGCTGCAGCTCTCTCGTGTGGGAGCTGCGTGGGGATGGAGCACACCAGGATCCGGCGGGAGCTCTGGGAGCTCAGCAGCGCACGGTCCGGAGCTTCCCCACAGTGTTGAAGTTTAGTGGATATTGCACCAAAGACACAGCTACAAGAGGATCTCATTAAATCAGCCCTGAAGAGCGCTAACTTTTCTTTTAGCAGCACTTGACAAGATAGGAGGGAAGTGAGACAAAATGTTCTCTTTCCTAATGAATGAGGAAGAGAAACTGCCTGACTCTCATGTGTTACTTCTAAAAATAGTTATATTTCATTTTTCCATAAGCATCAGCATCAGAGCATCAGCCCTCTTTAAAACGACACTAAATCATATGACCTTGAAATTGAACACTGAAGAGTATTTTCTTTCTTTCCCAGGCTTTATCTTCCTTTGAAATTTGCACTTTCCACCGTCCTGCAACACTGAGCTATTTTAGCCTTGCCCGAAATCTCTCTACTCTTTTACCAAACAGACTCCCCTTCTCCCCCAAGCGTTCCCAGGCGCTCGCCAAGTGCTGTCCAGCAGCACGGGCCGTACATGAGCGGTGCGTTATCTCGTACTCCCGTCCGCTCCTTCCCTCCCTTCCTCTCCAAAGCACAGCACAACGAAGCTGCTCTCTAATTCCTTGGGAGAATTATTAGTACTGGGGGTGTTCTGCCCCTCTGGAGGACCACGTGAGTATCTCCTCACATTCATTTTCTGAACTTTGCCACAGCTCACGTTTGTTTCTCTTATGAAAGCGTTTATTTTCATGACTCTCCATAAGCTTCTATTAATGTCTCCCTCTCTTTAGAAATTTTACAGAATATAGTTTATTTCTAGAGAATTTTTCCTTGTTTGAATGCTGGTCTTCTGCAATATTTTACTTTTTTTCTTAAGCATTTTAAAAGCTAATAAAGTGTGGCTTGCAGACATATACCTCCTGTCTGCATCTTTCCTGACCACTTGCATGTAAGGCAGATACAAGGAGGAAGACCACCCTCACTGTAGCCCCAAGTATGAGAAAGCGTTTTTGACATTCTGTCCTTACAGTATTGCAGCATTGCTTTTCTTCACTCATCCTAACCTGCCAGTGATACTTGCTCTTTTTAGAATGATTCAGCAAAATAGCATATAAGAGCAGAGAGGGAATACCATATGATGAAGAAATGGGTACTTATTCGTCGTACAAACTCCATTATATTGACAATCACGTTCTGGATTGTGCTGCTTCCTTGTGAAAAGGTGGCAGAGCCAAGAGAGATTTTTTGCAAGTAGCGGACCCCAGAGATGCCTGGTTTGTGTTTGGTGGGGTTAACTGAGGAGACAGGGATTTCTGCAAATATTTTCCCCATCAAGGTTTGGAAATGGCAGAGAGGATAATAAAACCACAAAGCAAGTTTCATAATAAATGAAAGCAAGAGCCCCTAATTCTCTCTAGACAAACTTCTGATTCAAGTCCTCAAGTGCTGGCATCTCTATCGGCAATGCCCATGGTACAACCAGCACAAATGTAAACCTCTCCCATGAGGGACCAGCATTTGGTTGAAGTGCTGCCAGGGCAATCAGAGCTGCCTACACTTCAGAAGTGAGGGGCAACAAAAGGAAAAGCAACTACGGACTCCATGCTTGGCTTTTCCCTGCAGCTCTTCTCCCTCTATGAGCGATCTCTGGGACACAACCTGCAAGGTTGGCTCAAACAACATTTTATCATCTGCCTGGACACCTGCAGGCACTGACGTCTCAATTCTATCACCAACACATCTCATCGGGGACCAAAGCTGGCATCGTGCAGGCCTGTGATTCCTGGTCCGACCTCCTCTTCGCTCTGCTGAAATGGCTTTGCAGCCCTGCTCATGGGCATGTGGTGGTGCTTCAGCACGCGTGCCCCGGGAAAGACACGCAGGGGCCAAATGTCTGCAACTGTTTGCACAATCAAGGCTAAAAGTAATAGCCAAAGGGGGAATTTGAGGTAGGGGGTGCCCGTTTCAAAAGCTCTATGGATAAGCCATGCCTGCTGAGGCTCTAAAACTAGAAACCTTGTCCTCCACCAATTCGTTGTTGCTAACCCCAGAAGATGGTTTATCTTGCTCACAACGTTCTGGATCCTTCTCGAGCTCACCTCAAGACTCGCTGCGGTAGTTTCCTCTTGTTTCAGGCCAAGTTGCTGCAGCTGTGACTGCTGAAGGGAAACGGGAGGGCATGCTCGCTTAGCTCCACCTGCTGGAGGCTACGTCTATGCAGAGAAAATCATTCGAGAAGAACGTGAAACTTCCATCATCGCTTGAGGGTTATTTTCCCCAGCAAGTCTTAGCATTTAAGCAATATTCCCACATTTAATCCCTCACTCTGCCACAATGTGGGTTTTCTCTATGCCAGCGAACAAGTGATCTCCATAGCTGTGCTTTGCAACACCACGATACTTTACTGCAAAAAGAGCATTGGGTCGTTTCCAGTGCTGAGAGGCACCAGGAGCCTCTGACTGTTGCATCTGCTGCCAGAGGCTTTCGCAGAGGAGCTCTGCTCCGGAGTGGCCTGTGCTCAGCGCCACGTGGTGCCACCTTGCTCCTGGGAAAGGCTGGAAAGCAGGGCCTGAGCTTGGTCCTGCCACAACCTCAACCTCAGATGCTCTGAATCACCATCATGTCTTAACTTTAAGAACTGATACTTAATTAGTTGCTAAAACAAGCAGATGTTTCAGAAAGTATTTGCAGAGCTGTTCTGTGCAATTTGTCTCTACAGCCCTATTTGTTTCTGCTGGAAACCCCTGCAGTTTTTTGCCGAACGCTACACTTTGACAAAGGTAGAAACAGTTTCCTGTTTAAGAATAGGTCCTGCAAGCTTTTCTGCCACAGTGAAATGACCAGAGCCATTTGGGCTTGGCACCACCTGGAAATGCGCTAGCTCTAGTTTGATATTTCAAAGATTGAGCCTCTCATCTCTTTGGGGTCATTAAGGTCTGGGAGATCAATCATCTGAATGCTCCAACCGGGTTAAAAGGGTATGGTTACCCTTTTAAGAAGAAATCCTTCCTGTTTTTTTTTTGTGTTCTGAACAGTTGCCCAGTAAAGGCTGCTGCGTGCCCCATGCCACATCGCACCTCCGGCGCTGCAGGGCCTCTGCTCACAGGAGGCTCCAGAGGGAATAATCTTAATTCTTATTGCCACTGTCTAACTCCTCCCTTCCTTTTCCTCCTCTTGTTCATCACATTTGGCGTTTCCACCTTTTATCTCTGTCAAGCAAATGGAATTGAAATTTATCACAACTATAGGCTCATGCAGGCTACACCTTAGCAATGCTTCAAAATTAATGGGAGAAGTAGAGAAGTGAATGGAGGCACAGCTGCATGTTTTGCGTCACCAGTATAGGATATTTTTTAGCAGCAGCGTAGAGTTTTGGCCTTGGAAGCCACTCCGTCCCGCAGCGCAGCGCGGCCGCCCTTCTCCGTTCAGCTCCACCCTCGAAGGATTGCTCAACTCGCAATCAGACTCGAGAAACTGGCAGCCACCTCGGGAGAACAGAAGAAATCTCTGGAAAGGAAGCAAAGCACTTTTGCAAATGTTATGTTTTTTAAAATCTTCATTCATCTAGTCAAAAATAAGATAACAGAGAGGTTTGTAAGTACCAAAAGACTTCTGCACTTATCAAACGTTTTGGTTTTGCGACCTGTCGTATTTAGCTGCAAAAACTATTTATTACCCAATCCTCTCCAGTGTTGGGAATGTTATCTATTACCCATGCGAAACATGGAATGTATGTTACCGAATCTGTTTTTCTCCTTTCTTATGGGAATGAAGAAAAAGAAAGATGAGTATACTGAGCAGCTGGTGGGTGTTGGTGTTTGCAAGTCTTCCCTTGTGGCTGTCTGGCTAGAACATATGACGTGAAGTTTGTGCGTTGAAAACTGTGAAGCAGTAATGTTTCTTTAGAATTCCCGAATTTACTCACAAAACAGAAAATGCAAAGCTGTTTATTCTTTGTTTTGCTGTATTTTTCACACTTTTTTTCTTCTGTAAACTCAATTATGAAGTTATTGCAGTCTGTATATGATAAAATATTTCAGATACACATTCTTCTGTCTTGAAGGACTTAAATGATACTTCAATAAGCTATCACTTGTCAACTCCCTATGGCTTCTAGCACTGAAGAAAGTGTATATTATTGTATAAGTGTGTCCTTAACATGCTGGATTTCATCTTTAACTTTCAGATACTGCCGTTGTGCTACTCTTCAAGGCAGGGATGTCCTCCCCCTCCTGCTCATCTTCAGCGCTGGAGACTGAGATCTTCCAATACATTGACCTGCATCAGAATGTCTTTGTTGCGGTAGGAACTACCTGGCAGTGAAGTGACTCGAGCGCAGAGGCGATGCTGGAGGGCCCTGTGCTCGCGCGCCAGGGCCGTGTTTGGCACCAAGGGAAGGAGCAGGGCTCCGGGCTCGGTGTCCGGGATGAGCAGCGCCGCTGCCAGGGTCCTCCGGGGGGAAGGGGGCGCAGGAATCCCCAGGCGGCCTCACACCTGGGCTTCACCGAGCCGAAGCCTTAGCTGGGCCTGAGAAGCAGACTGGGTATGATGGCCTCTCACTTGCTTTGCAGCACAGCTGCTTTTTTGGTGTAGCTTTGCTCTCAAAGATCCAAATCTTGTGCTGTTTCTGATTTTTTTTTTTAGTCATTTTCCTGGGAAAAGGCAGAAACAGGAATTAGGCATAATTAGTCCTGTAAATATTGTTTATGCTTTGAAGTTATGAGCACTTCTGCATCCT